CCACAGATGAAGTACGAACAGGTACCTATCGTCAGCTTTTCCACCCTGAGCAGCTTATCACCGGTAAAGAAGATGCAGCGAACAACTATGCAAGAGGACATTACACTGTTGGCAAGGAACACATTGATACTGTCCTGGATAGGATCAGGAAAATGGTACGTAAGATTATGGAATTTAACAAATCACAAGAGTCGAGCCCAGAGCAATTAGTAGTGGGGACAACAGCAGAAAGAGAAGGAAGTGATTCTAAGGGAAAAAGGGAAAGAACTGAGAAAAGATGACTTGATGTAAGTAAAGGAAATAGAATGAAAAGACTAAAAATAAAATAAAAAAATAAAAAAAAAAAGAAAGAAAAGATCTTAGCCTTCCGCTGAGATAATTGCTGTGTAGAATAAAGATGATGCATACGTTGATAACTTTAATTCTTTTAGACTGAAATTCTTTTTCTTTTTCTAGGTCGATCAATGCGTTGGTCTCCAGGGCTTTCTCGTGTTCCATTCCGTCGGTGGAGGCACGGGATCAGGTTTTACCTCACTCCTTATGGAACGTCTATCCGTTGACTATGGCAAGAAATCAAAGTTGGAGTTTACTATTTACCCAGCTCCTCAAGTCTCCACTGCTGTGGTTGAGCCTTACAACGCAGTATTGACCACCCACACTACCCTGGAACATTCTGACTGCGCTTTCATGGTTGACAATGAAGCTGTTTTTGATATCTGCCGACGTAACATGGATGTTGAGAGGCCAACGTACACCAACTTGAACAGGCTGATAGCCCAGGTCGTGTCTTCCATCACAGCATCCCTGCGCTTTGATGGATCGCTAAATGTCGATCTTACTGAATTCCAGACCAACTTGGTGCCATACCCACGTATCCATTTCCCAATGGCCACCTATGCACCAGTCATCTCTGCAGAGAAGGCTTACCATGAACAACTGAGTGTTGCTGAGATCACTAATGCCTGCTTTGAGCCAGCCAATCAGATGGTCAAGTGTGATCCACGTCACGGCAAGTACATGGCCTGCTGTCTTTTGTACCGTGGTGACGTTGTACCCAAGGACGTCAATGCTGCCATTGCAGCCATCAAGACCAAGAGAACCATCCAGTTTGTTGACTGGTGTCCAACTGGCTTCAAGGTTGGCATTAACTACCAGCCACCCACTGTTGTTCCTGGTGGTGACTTGGCCAARGTCCAGCGTGCTGTCTGCATGTTGAGCAACACCACAGCCATTGCCGAGGCCTGGGCTCGTCTGGATCACAAGTTTGATCTGATGTATGCCAAGCGTGCCTTTGTGCACTGGTATGTTGGAGAGGGTATGGAGGAAGGAGAGTTCTCCGAAGCCCGTGAGGACTTGGCAGCCCTTGAGAAGGATTACGAAGAGGTTGGAGTTGACTCCTACGACGAGGAAGAAGAGGACGCCGGAGACGAATACTAGTTAGCTTGATAGATAAATCATTATTAGAGTTAATTAAAATTTTTATGATAACAGATGTTCGATAACTGACAACATTATTTCTAAAACTTGAGAACTAGCTTTTAAACAAAAGATATGAAATAAAGGACATAGATATAATCTGTTTTAAATTTCTATTTATATTCGTTTTACACCCTGTGCCACTCACTATGCTGTTGTAACTGTAAAGTGTGATTATGGCTTTCTAGCTGTTGTTGGTTAACGATTGCTGTGTTTGCCGTGGTGTATTGATTATCCGTGTTAGCCTATTGGCAGAGGGCATGTCCTTGTTACTGATGTTAGTGTTTTTACTGTTGTCAAAGCAAATTCCATTGGTAGAATAATGTGACTTCAGTATTGAATAAAAGTTGAAATGATGTAGGATTAGGTTAAAAAAAGCTGACAACCATGATGTCTTCGATGGCTCTATTAACTTATGCATATATGAGCCTCAAAGTGTCTTCCGTTTCATTCCACATATAATATGGCCAAATTAAATGTGGTGACCATGCGTAAAACACCGCGTAAAAAACCGTAAAATTAGTTCAATGGCGCAAGCATTTTAGTTGTTTCAAAATTTGTTGGAGTAAGTCACGAAAACATCTTTAAAAAAAGTCCAAATACAGAGCGTGTAAAAAAACTATAGTGGTATATGGTGAAACTTAAGTCTAACAGAGAGTAGATTTTTTGGGCAGGCATTTCGCGACAGTTTTAAATTAAGTCATATCAACTGACGGAACTTTATTCATAAATGCTTGAGGGCTTCTGTCAGTAATGATGCGTGTATTGTCAAGATTGCATCCATTATCCCAGGCACTGCCCAACACTCTAAGCATGAGTGAATGTCACGAAAAAAAAAAGTTCAAAGTCAATGCACTCTCCTAAAAACAGCCCAAAATATTGTCAAATCTTTAATACTTTGAATTCGTACTCCAGCGTACTGTCACTTTTGAGTTCAGAGTTCTGTTATATTTCATTGTAGTTTAGTTATCTAGATAACTGAGATGATTAGTTGTCTTCTTTAGACCATGTCGACCATGTGTCTTTTTGTTCTTTGAACTGATTGAAGTGCCATTTGTAAAGAATCCAAAAGTGTTCATTCTGTGACAAACAACTTAGAAAATTTAAGTGCAAACATCCTTCACTGACCAAATATATAGATTACTAGTTCTCAGGAACTCAAATTTGTCTGGAGTTCTATTGATCCTTCTATGACTAGTCATTATTTATTCTCAAGTCTATTTGCAATAAAGGACTTCAAATAATCGGATTTTAATCGGGTTTGTCATCTCTATTTTCCCCCGTGAGTTCATCACCAATTTATTTTTCATTACCTATCTTCAAACTCCGTTCTAAGTTCCATAATTTTCCATCTTACTTCCCCAGTCTAAAGCTTTTTAATAGCTTAATGATGGTAGCATTGCGTAGTCGTATATTCAAAGGACATTACTTAAAATTTCAAAAGAAGAATAAACGAACCGTTAATCACTTGGAATGAATGTGCACCAAATCCTTCATGATAAACGCACCTAATAATTTCTAATCCAAATTTGGCCAAATTTACTAATTTATTGCCAATATACAAATATATATAGATTCTTTACAAATATAAACCTTTCTTTGTAGTTCTCGGTATTCATATCTTCTACGGACACCTGCTCTAAAGATTCTTTGGTTTTCAAAATAAATTCGGTTTATACGTTTGCCAATTTTGGCCAATTTTGAATAACCTCTTTATTTTTATCTATGAAGACCGCAAATATAGTTTGACTATAATACATACATCAGTACAGGCTTCATGAGATTTTGAATTTACTGAAATGTTTAGACCACAAAGGTTTTAATTCTAATTTTAACAATAATGAAGGCTTTCAATTCTTTTGTAGCAGTGATGTTTAGCGGCGTATCATAACATCATGGTACAAATGTTGGCCAACTCCACCCCCTGATTCGATCTTAACTTTTCTAGAACGTGTTGACTCATAAATATTCACTTTTTTCCCCCAAAAAATTGTATCATTTATTTTTCTTCTAGATATCTCATTTTTGATAAAAGACAGAGTTTCGCACACGTCTGAGGCAATTGCCTTATTTTTATTTTGCAACAGAGAAGAATGTTTTCTCTGTCCAAATAAGCGATATTTGACGGTTGATATGGTAATTGTCCTGCCCCCTCCTGAGTGAAGTAGGATTTTGCATTATATTCAAGTGCCCTAGTGAAACCGCGCGCACTCTTCGGAAGGTTGTCGAAGAATTATCTCCCGGTCGTAACTTACACAGGGGAATAAAATCGTCCAATCGAAGTTTTCTTGTAAAACAGAAACCTTTTCTATAACCAAATCCATCAAAATGGTAAGATTTGTATTTTTATGAGATGACATTTTCCACGATTTCTCCATTCCATGTTTCGCCAAAATGTTTCCGTTTTGCGACATCTCCAACGACTGCCTATTTTGTTTCTACAGCGTGAATGTATCTCGATCCATGTCGGTCAAGCCGGTGTCCAAATGGGCAATGCTTGTTGGGAGTTGTACTGCCTTGAACATGGAATCCAACCCGATGGCCAAATGCCCAGTGATATGACTCTTGGTGGTGGTGATGACTCATTCAACACTTTCTTTAGCGAGACCGGTGCTGGCAAGCATGTCCCTAGAGCCGTGTTTGTCGACTTGGAACCTACTGTAGTCGGTGAGTTCACTCTAAGTTTCTTGACTGTAACTACATCGCAAATCTATCAGATATATCATTAATAAAAAGCTTATATAAAGAAGTTTTTGGTTAATATTTCGATGCATTGAAACCAACCATAACGGCAACACCTTTGATATCAGTTGATGCATAAACAGTAAAACCACATGTAAAATGCGGCAGCGTATCGTTTTGTTATGTTCCTATCGTTGTCTTATGACATAAGTCATCTGTTCTACCTAACAAGAACTTCTTTAGTATCAGCCAAATACAGCTATGTAAATAAAAAGTATTTCAAATAAGTATTTACTGTTAAAGTTCAAACATATATTTGGGATCAATTGGAGCTGAAATCTCCCTGCCTCATTTCTGAGCTACTTAATAATATTACACAACTATTTTTAAAAAAAGTTCAATTTTATAGTTTGTTATTTCAGTAAAATCTCAAGATGCATAAAAGTGTAATTCCTACTTAAATTACCATACAAATTTCGGATTTGAAAGGGGTCAGGTTATGAAACGAAGAAAAAGTTTTTGACCAATATACTTGAAAACAAAGCCACGTCGCTACGTATGCAAATGAGGACAAGGTGCAGCTGGCGAGGTGCCGACCACGTGATTAGCTGGAAGAAACGCGCGGGATATGAGACCGGCCGATACGATTGACTTATAAAAGAAATATATATTAAATACGAAAAAATAAGGCTCGACTTTAGCAATAGTATAGATAACGCACAAATCAGAGCGTGGAAACAAAAGTTATGAGAATAAACAAAGTAAATTTACAATGTTTAAAATTAATGAATGCAAAAACACGGCCGCGACACGTTGAAGACATTACACGAGGTCTGTTGTAGCCCGCCAAAACGTTAGGTTCTCCTTTCCGCTTTGCCTTGTGACTTTGAGAATGCAGCAAAAAAATTGCCATGGATTTTATATTATCGTGTAGACGTCTTTTTGAAACTCTTAAAAACGGAGATACTGTTTTAGTTTCCAATTAAGATTCGTTTCTGTATTCTTTGAACAGGAATTATTGTAGACAGCTAACTGGTGCTTTTTAATTTGATTTAAAACACTCAGAACAAAACCCATGCCACATTTAATCGAGAACCAAGATTTAATTTAAGCCGAAGATTTCGATTCCAGCCCCAAAATTTACTGGATTATATCTGAAACAGACCGGAACATTACCTACCAAGAGTACTACTAGTCTTGATGAATAAAACTACTACAAAATAACGAAAACCATAATTGATAATTCTAATAAGATAAAAATCGGCGTGGAATCATCTCGTGTCCATAGAAATTGTCATTTTTCTCTCAGTAACGTCTTGGTACTTCTTTTTCCACAGATGAAGTACGAACAGGTACCTATCGTCAGCTTTTCCACCCTGAGCAGCTTATCACCGGTAAAGAAGATGCAGCGAACAACTATGCAAGA